CAACCCAGTTTTCCGGCCAGGTAGGGTGCCCGAAGTGCAATTGCAAACTGTATCTTGCCATATAGTGCAATTATAACTCGTTCGTGTGACTCTACTGAAAAGTTACCCCTTTTTTTTTTCACAACCCGAGTTGATGTTAGGGGAAAAAAAAAAAAAAAAAAAAAAAAAAAGGATGCTCCATCTACTACAGTCTTCCCCCAAATACAACGCACGGTCATTATCGCCGAATTTGGACCATCTTTCAGTCTAAATTCAGCTATAATGACCGTACCTTGCATTCGGGGGAAGACTGTAGCAGGGGTGCTGGTAAGAGCAGGCCCAGAGCAACACCCGCTGGAAAGCAGGTCCTGAGTCCCTGAACATTGCAGCTGTCCGTCTGACCAGACCTGTAGTTATACTGCCAGCTAGCGGCAGGACTCATCTACAAAAAAATGAAGTTTGGCAGGTTGAGGTACACAGCAGCCTAAGGTACTTGCCTACTACGACAGCCAAAAGTATGTGATAGTATACGCATATCTCATGACTGCTGCTAGGAAAGATGGGAGTAGAAACGGGCGCATCTGTTTTCAGTTTCTCAAGAGTGCTGTGTGCCGCTGCTGCTTAATGGACCTGGTCTAACCCTTCCTTCTTGATCCAACCTTGGTGTCAGGGTAAGGCTTGACACCTCTTGAAAACCAAGCGCCCGTCAAGTACTCTCGCGAGGACGCTTGAAAGGAGAGGTATTGCAGGCTAGGGTTTTCAGTGTTTCGAGAGCTACTCTTGAACCCTGTCGTTGACACCTCTAAGACTTCAAAGTGAATTCGGCAAAAAACTTTCAAGAGGCTGTGTGGCAGCGCTCGGACTCTTGAAAACGCGGTTTCTACAGTGGTGTGGTGAGGCCCTCAGTCAGTAAAAGTAATGGCTGATGGATATCTTTTGGGCTGCTATCTGAAGATTCACTTGGCATTTTCTGTAGTTTCTTCACGTGGCTATCACGGCTGCAGGCGCAATATTGGCTACCTTCTTTTATCTTTATTTTTTCTTTTTTTTCTTTTTCCCCCCCCCAAAAGACCAGGGTGTTGTAGAGGCCAAGGACCAGACCCGTGATTGCTGGCCACGGCAGCCAATGGTTGTTCTGACAGGATAGGCCACATACCCCTATTATTCTTATTTTTATTTTGGTTACACTTTTCCGCTGTACCGAAGGGCCTAGCTCAGTCGAAATACAGACTCGAGTTCGAATCCAGACAAACAGTAATTAATTCTGAATTACCTGGGGGCAGTCAGTGCTATGGGGGGAAAAAGGAAGAAAGAAAGAAGGGAAGTGGCCTGAAGTGGCCTAGCTCAGTTGGTAAGGCTCGAAAGTGGCATTCAGGAGGTCTTGGGTTCAATCCCCATTGCCTCATGTCCCTTCCTGGGCATGCTTGGCGCCCACGACCTAGAGATAGACCACCGGATCCCCCGATCTGCATTGAGCAGAGACTGCTGATGTTTGTAGGGGAGGGGACTGGAGGGGAGGTGCAGGGATTGGTCCCTTGGCATGGTCCCTGACACTACCGACTGTCCCCTGGCCGGTATCGCCCACCTGCAGGTCAGGCGCAGCCCCTGCATGTTCCGTTATTAGAGGCATTGTGAATTCGGGCTGGCTGCTATGGGGAATATTGCATTTTGTGAACTCAGGCTGGCTGCTATGGGGAATATTGAATTTTCTTTGTTTTCGGGAAGCCTACGGGTCTCGCTCCACTACACAATACTCTATCCCTCAGCCTTCCCCCCACCCACCCCGTCACCACCCTCTCCTCTTCCATCGTTCCCCCCACCTCTCACCCCAGCACCTGTTGTATCTTTTTTTTTTTTTTTTTTTTTTTTTTTTTTTTTTTTTTTCATTTTGTGTGCCGCTCACCTGTTCCCATC